CACCAGTTTTAGTAAAGCTTCCCTCAGATGTTTCAGTGTACTGTTGTTCGGACACTCCTTGATTCTGGTGGGTTTACTTCAGACATCTTTGCTTGTCTAATTCAGGAATGCAAAAGCAATGTAAAATGACAGATTTTCAATTAGGCACACAGGATTGCCTATTGGTGACTTTTTCTTCAACATTTTTTCTTACCCTACACCATCCATCTTTACATTAAACGTGACCCACTGAATGCTAAAACAACGATGTTCCTCATCTTGTGTGTGATCCAACTGGGGCCTCCTGGGCTTTTGTAGCAGAGGAAAAAAAGATTGGTAAACCTCGGAATATGTCTTAACACAGGCTGGGAAGCAACTGACTATTTTCTATCTGCAGTAGTACTCCATTGATAATGAAATCCGGCATCTTATCAGATTACCTCTTGAAGTGATGTCTACTTTGAGGTAACAGTCTACTTTGTGCTCATAGGTGTACCTTGTAACATGTAATCCACAGCACTTGAAGTAATACGTTTTTTCCAGCGTGTAGAAGCCATTGAGACTAGAGTGACTAGACGGTATGACCGTTGTTCCAATCATCTCCAGGACTCTTGACTTTCTAAGTGGTTTAACAGTCAGCCACTTCAGATGCAATGGGACAAGATAACAGCGTTTTGACCTATTTTAAGAATCTTCTTAGGAGAATCAAAATATAGCTGAATAGTCAACATTAACTGAGTGACTGATCTTGCAGTGAATAGGAAATATTTGTTTTTTTAATGCACAGATTAAACTTTGTAATAAAATCTAAATTAGTAGCATTAACTTACAATTAAACATTTTGTTAAGCTTAAAGGGAATTTTATTTTTTTCTTTGTTTTTTTGGAGATATGACTATTACCAGCTTATTAAATGTAAGTTTACCTGCATACTTGTCTCTGTGTGAACAACAGTGTATGTATTTGCAGCAAGTACACATTTTAAAATATTTATACCATTTAAACATGACCTGAAATTGTGGAAGCTGCGCCAAAAAGGCAAGCAGAAGACAAGGGACTTGTCACCAGTATTGCCTGTGGTCTCCCTGCGGCTGATTTTTTTCCCATTACTAATTTGCTCTGTAGAGGTGGTCATGTTGCGGAGGCAGGGCTTTGCTTCCTCGTGTCAAAGAAGCTTGCTAAATACTGGTGATGTGATAACTGGTGAGGTAGTACGTAGGAAGCAGCAGGAAAAGTTCCGAAAGCACAGACCCACAGAATGAATGTAGAAGAAGCAGGGAGGTGGTTGTCTGCAGGCCCTCAGGTTCAACTTCCACTCCAGCAAGGAGAACACTAAGCAGCAGCACAGTCACAATATCGCTTAATATTGTGAGACTAGCAGTGTCCTAGATCTCACACTGCAGATGTACAGCTATAAGGCTATTGACATAGAAAGTGCACTGCTATTTTTCAGGAAGAATTCAAGAGGAGGTAGATTTTTAAGGGCATTGCTTAGACACTCTGCGTAGAAACTGTGTCTTTAAACAAGTTGGTAATGGTAGCTGCTCTATTTCAATTCCAAACATTCATTTTAAAGCTGATGTGCAACAAAGAATACAGTAAGCATTTGGTAAAAAATAAAGAACCAGTATGCACGAATTTGGGGATTCTGCTGCGGGATACAAAGGACACTTTTTGAATCTGTATACAAACAGTTTTTTCATATGAAGCCTTTGACACAAACTCATTAGATGGAAATATGTCTTTATTCACTGTTGTGGATTGGGTTGCAGTATAATTTAAATGGAGCAGTTTCGGTCACTGCAGGCTGATGGTCATCTGGAATTAGAGCTATTGGAGAGATTACAAAGCCTTGTTGGTTGCTCTGTTTTTTTCCTTGATAAGCTGGAGGTGTGTTTTGCCTCCCCAGTCTAAACTTCGAAAATGTGACCTCTAGAACGTATCCAGTTATGGCAAGATAACTATAACTCACAATCTCAGTAGAGTTGGCTGACAGTGACTTGATCCAAATGGCATCTTGCTGATCGTAGAGAAATGTAATCCAAATTTGTGACGATCTTAACAAACGAACATTGGGATAGGTCAAAAGATCATAATATCACCATCTCTATCAGTATACGTGTGCAAAGAATGGAATCTAAAGAATACTGTAAGAGGGTGGCGCTTACTATAAAGAGCATCCCCTAACTATGGCATCAGGTAGGAACAAAATTATTTAAAGGCAAACAAACACACCATAGATGTGTAACATGGTAAGATATCTGCAATGCACAAACTCCACCTTGTACTGTATGCTCTGCAGCCACAGTGTAGTGAATGCTTCCTGCATTAAATGTTTGTTTGAAAAAAAAATATTTTGAAATCGAAACAAGGAGGACTTAACATGAAATCCCCCAGTTTGGAGAGCTGTGGTGCAGCTCCCTGGCACCCATCCCGAGAGCTTCACAATGGGTCTGCATTTTAGTGCAAATACATTTTTCTTAATCATACAGTATAGGACACAGACTCCTTCTTAAGCCTTCACCATGGGTTAAATGCTTTTAGTGTAGACACTTTGTGGGCACTACCAGACCATCAAGAGCTTCTGTCTTCGATCTGGTCTACCATCCTGCTTTATGGTCACTGACTTTTGTTGGCTTGGCTGTTGAAGACCTGTGATTTCTAGTCTCTCTGACTCCATCAATCCTATGCTGCTTAAAGCTGGGAAATTGACTACTCACAAGGCCTTTTATCACACTGGGAAGGTCTATTTTAGCATGGTGTGAAACACAGAAGTTTTACTCTGATCCAGTGGTATCCAAACTGCAGGCCAGATGCAGCCTTTTGCTTGCCTTCTTCTGGCCTTTGGGGCATGATTGCTTCCATTGATGCCAACGATGAGGCACCATTTCTTCTAGTAACACCAATATTGGGCATTAGTTCTCCAACTAACACTAACAATGGATAACTATTCTTCCTATGAATACCAATGATGGGCACTATTTATCCTTCTTCTGAAGACGGACGCTATGTAATTTTCTTATTCCCACTGAAAACCAAGCTTAAAGCATTGTTTAATCCCACTGATGCATGGGCATTTTCCACTCCCACTGGACACAGTCTGGCCCCTCTAATTTTGAAAGACAATAATCCAGCCCTTTATTAAGAAAGTTTGGAGTCCCCTGTCCTAGATGATACTCCAAGGGATGTATCCTGTTCTTTCACCAATCTGAGATGGAAACAACGTTTGGCCTTAAGCACTTTGAAGAGTCAAATCTTGACAATGGCCATTCTCTTTCAGAGACTGCTGGCTACTCATTCCCTTGTTAAGGTGGTTTTTCAGGGGGTGGCTCACATTACTACCCCTGTTTTACACCTTTTTCACACTAGGATCTCAGTCTGGTCCTGTTGGGTCTACAGAAGCCTGCCATGAGCCCATTAGGTGTGTCCACTTGCTGACTTTACTCATAAAGCAATGTTTCTTGTGTCTATCACCTCAGGGAGACTGGTGCCAGAACTGGAAACCATATCCTGTAAAGGACCCTTCCTTGCTCTTCATAAAGATAGGGAGTTTTGAGATTCCAGACCTCTTTTATCTGCCCAAAAAGATATCTATACATACTGTACATCTAGTAAGCACAGTGCAAGTTTATCTCTCTCAAGGGCTGTACTGCATCCCGTTCCACCATCTCTAGGTGGATTAGGCAGGCTATCACTAAGGCCCCTTTCACACAGGAGGACTCTACCAGCGGATCCACCTGCTCACAGAGGATCTGTCCACTGATCTCTGCTGAGCAGGTGGATGACAGGTCCATGTCCGTTCCGCTTATGCAGAGTTGACACAGCCCACTTTCCTCTGTGGTCGGTCGGATGTAAATGTACTACCAGTCTGTCATCCGATAAATGGTGAACGGATCCCCATCTGTCTGATTTCAGCGGATCGGATGCAGGCGGGTGTAAATGGACACATGTCCATTTACATGTCCATATACATCCTCTGCTCCAAAGGGGGGCAATAGATGATCTGATCGGGTCTGCCTGCAAAATGGACACTGAAAGGGGCCTTAGGCTTATGCATTGAATGATAGGATTCCTGCTTTCCCTCTTAATGCTCACTCTACTCATTCAGTCAGTGCCTCTACACTCAGCAAGATCGTCACCAGATCCTCTGTTCACACTTTTTTTCATGACTTTTAATATTTGGCCATTTGGACCTGTGCTGATGCTGGCTTCAGCAAAAAGGTGCTTTAGGCGCTCTGAGTTGGGAATCTGTTTCCCTTGTTTTTGGCCTGTTGACAATATTTTCTATGTTGCCCACCCCCTCAGGTGTATGGCTTGGAAACATCACATGGTCCAGACCTGAAGGAGCCTATGTTCTTTATTGTGTGAATAAGAAATAAGAATTTTCTATTTACCTGTAAAGTCCTTTTCTTGAGGTAAAGTGCAGCACACAGGTCACCCTCCCTCTTTGCTCTGGCAATTTTGTTTAATTGCTTGCTAAAAGAAAAACAGGATTGCTGGGAGCAGGAGGGGTTATACGGACTGTCCGAACAACTTTGTCATTGTCCTCACCTGAAGGTGGCAGCATATAACCCATAGTCAAGACTTAAGCAGGCCATAGATGGTCTAAATCTTGCCGGTTCAGCAGGGACTGGTTGAGATTCAAACCATATATAGGCAGGCTGATTGTATCCAAATTGATTTGCTGTACAACTTGCATACAGCCTGTCAGATTTTTCATGCAATTATTTCCAGCAGGTATAGCCACTTGCAATAATTGCTGTGTTCTCCTGGCAGGGACGACTTCCCCCCAGCCCCAACCCCCCTCCACGCCCTCCACTGGGAGAACACAAAAGCTCTGCGGAAGAGATCCCCCCATCAACACTGACTATTGATGGGGGAATCTAGCAATTTTCTTTCCTTCAACTTGTGGTTGCAGGAAAGAAAATTACATTGTCTATGGCCGGCTTTAAACAAGCCAGTGTTTTACAGTTTAGATAAATCCTTACCTTTTTCTATAGTGCATCACAATTCACAGATGGATTTTCTTTGTATTGTCTTGGGCTAGAAAACCAAAGAGGCATGTGCATTAAACATTCATTGTGGTGCTCTGGCAGCCCTTTCAAAATCAATGGGCTACCTTACCACAGTAACACACAACCTAATGTACTTTAACTTGTGAGCAGGGGCGGACTGACCATTTGGAAACTCGGGCACTGCCCGTGGGCCCGGGGTCAGTAGAGGGCCGCATGAGATGCCCTGGTACCTTTTTTATAGGCTTTTTTGAGTTTGGGCAAGGACACAGGGGCCCCATGGTCCCCTATTGCCCGGGGGCCCCATGAGTTGTCAGTCCACCCCTGCTTGTGAGCGATATTGATGCCTCAAAGATGGGAATATAGCCTTCATGAAAGAATCTTTAAACCTCAATTTTCAATGTACCCCATTTTGGATTGACGGGTTTTGGAGACGCAAATCCATCACTGGCTTCAGGAGGGTGAGCTGATCTCTTTTATGGCAGCAGATTTTACCATTTGTCCAAAATAACTGTATGCAAAAATTGTGCAACCAATTTATATAGCAGATAACTTTGAAAAATTTAAAACCACTGAAAAAAATGTGTCTGAAAACCATTACAGTTTACGGTTTTTTAAAAAACATTCAAGCTGGTTTCCAAACCAAGGTTCCCGGAAGGCCATACTTGGCATAGCTCCAAGTGATTAGTTGCATAATGAACAGCGGTAAGAGAGTCAGGTCTTACTACTGATTCCTTTGCTGAATGTGTCCTCTAATAAAGGTGCATCAAACATCTTTGAAAGAGCAAACTCTGAGCTCCCTATCCTAATCTGTTAACACTTTTTATGTGTAAGAGTAATTAAAGTACAAAAAGCTGTTTGATTGCCATTAATCAGCACTGCTCTGCCAAACCATTAACATAACTTAATCTTTGTTGTAAGCATGCTAGAAATTATCAGCTCCCGCGGGGGTCCTGTTGCCTCCCTACCCAGGGCTGTATCTGGGACCTGCAATTATGCAATTGTCACTCTTTCCAAGTGGAAGTTTAATGTATTGAGAGAGATCTTTATCTAGAGGTGTGAAGTGTATGTTTGTTGATAACAGTGCAATGCACAGAGACTGCACAAAGTTTGTTTGGGTGAAATGAACACTCTGTTTGCAGTCCTTTCTTTTCTTGAAATGCTGCTTAATGACTAGTTTATCCTTCATCGTTTATACTGCCAACTTCCTAAAAGAGCAATTGTAAAACAATACTCTATTTAGACCATATGTATATTCATGAAACCATTTCTGAAGTTATTTTTAGGCTTTGTTATATGTGATTACATTCTAGCCTTGAAGCTGAGTTTGTAGGGTTGGATTCCCACAAAGGACACTACTTGAAGTTTGTATTTGTGCAGGTTTGTATAAGTGCTCTAAATATCTTCCACATCCCAAAACATGAGGTGTAGGTTAATTGGCTTCCCTTCCAATTGGCCTTAAAGGTTATCCAAAACAAAAACATAAAGATACTACAGCTTGCCAGTCCTAACATGAGATGCCTTAGTTTTGTTTTTTCATGCTTTTTCATTTATTTTCTCATTTATTTTCACTTTTATAACACAAATAACACACTTCCCATCCCTGGGTGGCTATGCTCACTCCTCCACTGGACCTATGGAGGGAGCCATGGTTGTAACTAATGCTGGAATTTAAACATATCTGGCTTTATTCATCTATTAGTCTGTAGATTAATACAGAAGGAAGATAACATTTGTTTTTTGCTTTTATTTTAGCTCAAATAAAAGTGATTTATTATTTGTTTCAGGTACTTATATAGCGCCATCCAGTTACGCAGCGCTTTACACATATATATATTGTACATTCACATCAGTCCCTACCCCTCAAGGGGTTTACAATCTAAGGTCCCTAACTCGCAATCATACATACACATACTAGGGACAATTTAGACAACCTACCAGCATGTCTTTGGAGTGTGGGAGGAAATCGGAGTACCCGGAGGAAACCCACGCAGGCACAGGGAGAACATGCAAACTCCAGGCAGGTGGTGCTGTGGCTGGGATTTGAACCAACAACCCTAGTACTGCCAGGTGGAAGTGCTAACCATTTAGCCACTGTGCTTAAAGACACTACATTTTTGACAAGATCAACAGGAATTTTTGCTGAAACATATTCTTAGCTTACAAAGAAAAGAGAAATGAAGCCACCATATCTAAGGACTAGTAAGCTGCACTATATTCCATTTTTGTTCTTGGGTTTAGTTATGCTTTAACTTATGTATGGGAATCTACAGGGTGATTGGCCCACTGATTTCTATCAGTAAATGAGAATTTCAGGAGCACAAACTTAACCTGTTGGCACCAACTGTATGCAAATATGCAGCCTCTTGGCGGCTGGACCTTGATGCTGAGAGACCGCATATTTGTGTACCTAACAAAAAAAAAAACACGCCAAGAGCGAGTGCCCTGTGCGCTCCTAGCACATTTACTGGTGCCACACAGAAAGGTCTGGATCGCTACTTCCGATTAGGATCTTTCCAATCATGTGACCACTGTGACAACTGATCCAGTAGAGATTTTCCACAAGCTGTCACAGCCGGGTGCCCACACTAAAGATGCCAGTGCAGGGGATAAAGGGCAGCTAGTTAACCTGGCTGGTGTGAGGACACCGTGGGATCGAGGGACAGGTGAGTGTGTTTTTTTTAAAAGTCAGCAGCTACAGTTTTGTAGCTGCTGACTTTCTTTTTATTTATTTAATTATTTTGGCTGGACCTCCGTTTTAAGGCCTCATGCATATTTTAGCTCAAAATTACCTGTTTGATGTGTTTGTTTTTTTCCTGCCTCTAATTGCCCCTCTATGTTAACCTATGTGTCTGTTCACACGTAGGCATTTACTGGAGTTTAGGGTCAGAATAAAAAAAATCAGGAGAGGTGCATTTTGGATGAAAAAAACACTTGTCCCATTTTTATTCAGAGAGGTTCCATCTCATATCATCTCCGCTTTCTATATGCTAATATAGTGCAAATTTTTTCTTAGAGTTGAAATTCTCATTGGTCTATAAACGTTTTCAAGTTTTGCAACTTATTGTTTTCTTCCCCTTTTTATACCTCTTTCTGGATTCGGCACTTCAGTATGCTACTTATGTCTCTCCATCAGTATGTATCCTGTAATATGCATCGCATACCTTGTATGTTTTATTCCTGTTGATCAATGTATCTGTTTTTGACTGATTCGCTGTTCTTATCTATTCTATAATAAAATTCTTTGTAAAAGAAAAAAACACTTGTGCGCCTGAATGCGTGCAAATGCATTTAACTGCTAGCACTTGAGCATTTTTTTTTTTTTTTCATTTCAATGGCCAGAATAAATTCATCAGAAACGAACTCTCCTGCGCTCTGAGACCCAGGTGGGTGGCGAATAGATGGAACCAGAACTGGAAGATACGACCACCAGTGCCTATGGGGTTGTGCAGCTCCAAACAAGGCTGGGGAAGCCCGACCAGTACTGCAAAGCGAAACAAAAACGAGAAGCGCACCAGCCAAAATGTATTGAATACAAAATGATACTCACAAACAGCGAAGTAATTCAAACATGTAAGTCCTCAAAGGAAGGAAAGTTAAGAAGGGCATCCCTTCTTTATCGGAGCTCTGATGAAGAAGGGGTGCCCTTCGAAACGCGTCAACTGTACTCTGAGTGTCTACCCCTATGATGGGACTCGCGCAGGCTTCCTAACTTTCAAGTTCCTTGAGGACTTACATGCTTGAATTACTTTTGAAATCATTTTGTATTCAATAAATTTTGGTTACTGAGCAGGGGCGGACTGACCATTTGGAAACTTGGGCACTGCCCGAGGGCCCGGGGTCAGTAAGGGGCCCCATGAGATGCCCCTGGTACCTTTACCATAGGCTTTTTTGAGTTTGGGCAAGGACACAGGGGCCCCATGATCCCCTATTGCCCGGGGGCCCCATGAGTTGTCAGTCCGCCTCTGTTACTGAGATAATGCGCAAAGTTGGTGCACTTATTGTTTTTGTTTCGCTTTGCAGAATAAATTAATATTCTGGGCCCTGAAATAAATGTCCAAGTGCTTAACGTACCTAAACGCTTTTGTAAAAATGCAACTTAGGTGTTTTTTTGAAACTGCTTTTATCCTGCCAGGAGAAAAGCATTTACAAAAGTCCCAGTGTGCATGTAGCCTAAGGGAAATTACATTAAAAAAACTGAATGAGAAAGTTCACTAATTATTGTTCACTTGCTATTTCACAATGAAAGCGGCTAATGCTTGCCCAGTATACTATTGTTTCCATCATAACTTTAGTGATTAATAAAAATCATTATTTAATGAACAACCATTTACCTCCATAGATCTAAATAAAGAGATGCCAATAGCCTACCTATGCTGTAATCGGAGGGGAAGTGGCTTTATTATTAGGTCTTTGGCTTACTCCCATTTTTTATGTTTGTTCTTACTGAGCCTTTGAGCCCAGCAGGAAATTGCTCTTTGTTTTAACAAATCTCTTACCTTTTGATCTACTGGAGAATACTGAAGAGTATATAAACTGCACAGGTCCTATAAGTGGAACATCACAGCATGAGTCTGTAAGATAACACAGTGCTGATGGTGTGCTAATTGAGTGATGGAACTGACAGTGTTTTTAAATAGAATTGCACTCACTTTCAGGAGAATTGGGTAAATAGGTAATTCAGCTTTCTGTGAGTTCGGTGACACCTCTGTTCACCTTTTCTTAAGCAAACTACTAGGGAACCTAAAGAGGAGATTTGCTTGGGTTGTTGGATAATGGAAAAAAGAAATATTGCAACACTAGAATTGGGGAAAACATTTCAAAAGGAATAAACTGAACATAGATGGGACCAACTTATTGAAATGGTCATAATTGTAGGAATGACAGGAACACATTGCAGCTCACGCATTTCAGAATCATTGGTCATCCTTTCTGATTGTGCTTTGAATGCAGCAGATAGATTTTTGACTGTACTCACCCTGTCCTCTAAAGCAGGGGTCTCCAAATATTCTAAACAGAGGGCCAGTTGGTAGCCCTTCAGACTTTAGGAGGGTCGGACTGTGGCCAGTGGGAGTAGAAAATGTCCCGGTCAGGGGTGGACTGACAACTCATGGGGCCCCGGGCAATAGGGGATCATGGGGCCCCTGTGTCCTTGCCAAAACTCAAGAAAGCCTATTAAAAAGGTACCAGGGACATTTCATGGGGCCCCCTATTGACCCCGGGCCCTCGAGCAGTGCCCGAATTTCCAAATGGTCAGTCCGCCCCTGGTCCCGGCATCAGTGGGAGAAAACAGTGCCTTTAGGCTTGGTGGTCAGTGGAGCTAAAAAAATTACATAACACCTGTGGTAAGTAGGATGAGGAATAGTGCACCATCACTGGTATAAGTGGGAGGAATAATGCCTCATTGTTGGCACCATTGGGAATAAAAGTGCTTAATCGTTGGTGTCAGTGGGAGTAATAATGCCCCATGCCTTTGGTCAGTAGGATGAGTGGGACGAATAGTGCTTCATTGTTGGCATCATTGGGAAGAATGGTGCCCCTATTGTTGGTGTCAGTGGAAGGAACAATGTCCCAATATGTCATTTGGAAGAATAATGCACTGTTTCGTAATTGAAATGGAGTCTCATTGTTGGTGTCAGTGGGAGTCATAGTGCTTCAAGGGCTGGATAAAGGCAAGTAAAGGTCTGCATTCATCTCGTGGGCCACAGTTTGGAGACCACTGCTCTAAAGGATGGTTTGTACTGGTAATGTTTGCTGAAAACAAGGGTCTGCAAAGAATAATTTACATTTTATCCACTATTTCTCATTTTGTTGGTATTTGGCTATTGTTTTTTCAGCCCCTAAGACATTACAACCTTATTTGTGTTTAGTCAATATTGTTTGATAATATATCAGATCACCATCAACACCATTTCCCTTGTCCAGATTTGTGAATCAGGTGAACTTAGTAAATCCGGCATTTTTTTCATGAATCACAGTTCTTCATAGTATAGGTTATGCACACCTCCCCATTGTCTCATCCACCTACAGTAACAGGAGGAGGAGGTATTTTGTAGTTCAGATATGACTACTTGGACAAGGCTAACTTTTTTTGTTTTTTTTTTTTGTTTAAGGAGACAAAATATGGGGACATATGCTTGTGTTGCAAAGATGTACTCGGCATGATGGATCAAAAAAAAAAAAAAAGAAAAGGAAAACATCCAGACATACAATTCTTTGTCCCAAATCGGCTCTTGGCACTGTGTTCTTTTGTGGAGGACTTTGTCAATTTTTGGTCTGCCATAGCTGACCCACCTATTTATTGCCGTAATGAGACTTTGACTATCCCCATTGCCTATTCTTCTTTTAAAAACCTAAGGCTACATTTCCATGGACGACTAGTGTGCATCCAGCAGCAATCACCGCAGGTAATTGCTGGTTCTGCAGACATCCGTGGATAGCTGCGACCACCTCAACCTGTCATTGAAATGTAGAGGGTTTAGTGGCCACAGCTAGCTGCTCACAGGTGGCTGAAACGGCTGAAGGAATCAATAGATTCCTATCACTGTCATTTTCACCTGAACTAGTCGCATGTGTAAATGTAGCCTTAGGGGAAAATTTGTTAAAACTGGTGAACTCAGAATCTGGTGCAGCTGGGTATGGTAGCCAATCCGCTTCTAACTTCAGCTTGTTCATTTAAGATTTGACAGTAAAACCTGGAAGCTGATTGGTTTCTATGCAGAGCTGAACCAGATTTTGCACCATGTAGTTTTAGTAAATAACCCCTACAGTAAATAAAAGTTGAAACAAATTTATTGATCTATGTACTCTATGGTGGCCTCTGCTCTGCAGTACACTCATCTCCCAAACTTTGGTCAAAATCCTTAAGCAGGGACCTGTTGGCGGTGGATGGTGAAATATAATTTATTGGTTACATTGCCCAGGTGATTGTTGCTTTGAAGTTTCTGTGTGATGCAGTGCTGGATACTTGTCGAGTTATGTTTCAGGTAATCCTTTGTTCTATCCAGATCTTCAGGGCACTCTGGCTTAAGTGCTGGTTAACAGAGCTATGGTGTAAAAAGGCCTTGTTATGCCTACCATTCTTGGGAGACTGTCTTTTCAGCTACTCACTGGACAAAATCATTAAAATAAGATGGTGTGTAAAGGTACTTACCCTAGCAATGCAAAGTTAGGGATCACTTACCCAGGTTGATACCTTCCTATCCTGCATCAAACTGTTTCTTTCATTCCTTCAAGCTAGGTTCCAGTTCCTGAACCCATAAGACATTTTTCAGACTCTCGGTTTCAATGGGTTCTAAACAAAGGTATCCAAGCCTGAAGATTCCACAATTGCATGATTATTTACTCCACCAGTTCCATCTGAAGTGTGTGTGGCATCTGATGGCTCTTGTTGAGTTTGAGACACTTCCATAGCCAACACGTGGATATAGGAGGAAGGATCAAAATAGTTTCTCCTCTGTTCACCTCTTAATTCCTCTTTCTGAAAGGTTTCAAGGATTTATGTCAAAGTCAAACTTGTTCACTGTTCCAAAATTCAAATGAGGCATTAGACCCACCTTGGATTTAAATGTTCTCAATGCCTTTGTTTTCTTTCCTCAGTTCGGACTGCTTTTGGACGTCACTAGGTTTCCTAATATCAAACAGTGCCCCACAATGATTGATAGAGAAAAGTATTTGTAATCAAAATCCATTCTCAGATTCCATTGAGGCACACAGCTCCCCTTATCTGCTATCATTTTCTTTTGGACTGCTTGATGCAAGTGTAAAGAAGGTCAAACGTATTGTAGATGCAGTTCCCCTGGCTCCCACAAGGTGTCGCTATCAGGTAGTGTTGAGCAGCTACTGCTTAGAAATGGCAGCCCTTTATTGGAATACCCCTGTAGGCAATGGCAGGTTTCCCTCCATCCAGTAGATGGCACTTTGCCATTATACAGATGGACAGCAGCCTGTAGGGCAAATGTCCCTTGGTGGACTCCATTGGTGTCTCAGAGGTATCGCTATCTGATTGGACACTGCAATTTCTGGTAAATTTTTGGCAACCATGTTGGTGTGGGACCTTAAGAATTAGAGTACCCACTTCTTTCAGGTTCACCTGGAGTGACTGGTAGGTCTGGAGCAGAGTCTCTGCTTGTTAAGGAAAGTATTAAATCGTGCAGGGCAATGTTCCTGGCAAGTAGGGGTCAGTACATGGAGAACACCTGCCTTCATGAAACATTCTGGTATTTGGACCAGGAATGTGGAGTTCTTCCGAGTAGCACTGTTGCAGTGCACTGCCAACTGCCACCCCCTACAGCACAAGCCATCCTCCGGTAATACAGGCTGAAGCTTGGTGACACTGTATGAACAACTATTGTTCTACTTCACTTCAGTGCTTTTCATTGATGTCATTATTAAATTTTTCCACAATATACAATTATTATTATACAGGATTTATATAGCACCAACAGTTTGCACAGTGTTTTACAAAATTAGGACAGACAGTACAATTACAATACAATTCACTACAGGAGGGATCGGAGGTCCCTGCTCATTAGAGCTTACAATCTAAGAGGGAAGGTCCAGTGATACAAAAGGCAATAACAGTGGGAGGTGAGCTGATGGAGAAAGTAGAAATACAGTTTTTTGTGGAGGTGGGATAGGATTCTCTGAAGAGAAGGGTTTTCAGGGATCAACTAAAAGTGGACAGAGTAGGAGATAGTCGGACAGATTGTGGCAGGGAGTTCCATAGGATGGGAGAGGCTTGGGAGGAGTTTTGGAGGTGAGCATGGGAGGAGGGGACAAGGGAGCTAGAGAGCAGGAGGTCTTGGGAGGAATGAAGAGAACAATTTGGTTGGTATTTTGAAATTAGGAATAACTAGTAAGTAACCTGCAGTGTGATATGGCTGCTTCCTCTTCAGGTGGAGACTTCTCCCTTCATGAGAAGTAAAACAAATGGTATGCACCATGCTAG